GGGGGGGGGGGGGGAGTTCAGAAGAAAAAACAATCAAGTAGGTGGTGCCGGTAGTGGATATAAAAATGACAACAACACAAACGACCCTTTCAAAGCCAGCCTTATGAGATTCATGAGAGAAATGAATGAACGAATAGATTAGAACGCTAAAGAGTTCCATGCTCAGATAGATCAGATTTCGGAAGTACCTCCGATTCTAAAGGGCCCAAATTCGAAGAAGTATATATAGTTTCTAGTCAAACCCAGTGCGACTCCGGAGTTGATTTCAAAGAGATTCAAAATGCCGGATATCGATGAAACATCGGATCCATAGGAGCACATCACAACTTACACCGCAGCTGTAAAGGGAAATGATTTGACTCCCCATGAGGTCGATCAGTTTTACCAAAGAAGTTTGGCGAAATCCTAACGAAAGGGACTTTAACATGGTATTCACAAATGCTCAATTGATTCTTTTGAAATTTCTTGCAAATTCTTTCATTAAAGCTCATGCTAGAGAGAGGAAAGTTCAATCTAGCAAAGCAGATATTTGTAGAATCACTCGGGAAACTGAGAATTGTTGCGAGAGTTTGTGATAAGGTTCCAAAGGAGCACATATTGTTGCCGGCAGTATCAGATGAATGGGCAGCAGAAGCATTTACCAAGGGTCTCAACCCCTTAAGCTCCGATGCATCGAGGAAGTTTGTCACGTCCAAATACATGCCTCTAAAGAGGTATGACACGGTCGAATCCACAGGGAGATAAGATGAGTGTTAGAAGTATATATTTAGACTATGCAAGTGAAGTATTTAGATTGCACTTTCATAAATAGGGTTTTGTTTCTACTTCTAAAATTAAGCTAATGATTTCAAATCTAAAGATATAAAACTAGAGATGATTGTTTTTGAGTGTTTTCCAAATATATAAAAGATCTATGGCCGTGACTATGACCTAAGTGTTTGCCTAATGGAATAAAGACTTTTATTCTTTTTTTTATTTATTGACTGGGATGTATTATAGCTCACAACACTACGTTGCCCACTCAATACCTCTCGGTCAGAGAGTAATTTCGCCCAATTTGGCTTTCTCAAGACCAAATGGGTATCTATCAAAATGGTTAATAAGAGCTCAAGTTGGGTTGTTTCTATCTCTAGGTTGAACCCGTTAATTGGGTTAATCAATCTCTCAATTGACCCAATTCTTTGTTAGCTAAGTTAACCTAGAGTAGGTTCCTCTTTCTCAAGAAGAGACTAAGTCAAATAGGCATGAATAAAGGTTTTCAACCATTAATTCTACAATTGAAGCATGAACTAAGCTAAATAATAAACACCCATTCATAAACAAGCATAAAATTAATCACCCTAAGGTTTACACACTAGGATTGGGTCACAATCCTATTAAGAATCTAGCTACTCATAGTTGGTGTAGAAGAAAACAACGAAGAAAAGATAATAAAACTCATATTGAAAGATTAAAATAGAGAAATCCAATGTTGAATCACCAAAGTAAGCTAAAGTTTCCTAACGAAGCAAAGAGAAACGGCTACAGTACTTCAACAATTCAAAACTTAACCTAATTTTGCGAAACTCTTCTATTTATATAAAGCTGTCAATTTCGGACAAAAATGCCCTTCGGGAGGTTCTGCGGCCGCTCAATTCCATGTGCGGTCCGTAGGTTTCTTTAACTTGTCAGGAACTGGAGGTCTGCATCCCCACAATTCTGAACGCGGCCTCGAGGCAATCTTTCTGCGGTCGCAAGGCACTCTTTTGCGGCCCGCAATAGTATGATTGCGGCCGCAAGATAATCTTCTGTGGCTGCACAAATCTTGAGCGGACCGCAATTTGAGGAAGCTCTGGACTTGTCCTTTTTGTCATCTCTCTGATCTTTGATCCTGGCCCAGCTTTTGCGGCCGCACAATTCATGTGCGGTCCGCAATTTGCTCCAAAGTCTGCTAAATTTTCCTTCCTTGATTGCGGCCGCAGATGGAATTCCGCGGTCCGCACTTTGTAAGTTTGTGTGCCTTTTATTGCCTTGATTTAGATTACTCCTTTTTGAGTCGGATTTCATTTCGGGAACTCAATTTCCATCATTCCTGCAAATTTACATAATTTGATCACTTTCGAGGACACAATTCCATGCTTTTAACTAAAACGAAAGCAAAAAGGCGCTAATAAACAGTCAAAATCCCACTTATGAACTCCCCCAAACTTATGTATTTCCTTGTCCTAAGCAAATAAACTAGTTCTCACCTCCAAAAGTTAAGGGACATTACAGCTAGCCACGGGTGAACCATTCACACCTCAGTTGGGACCAACAATTACCCACACCACTCATGCATTATTGATAAGGCAACAAGTTAAGCATTTACACACATATAGCTCTAATGTGACATTTGAGCATCAAGGGTTGACTTTACTCATCAAGGACTTTCGCTCTATCTTGTAGGTCATGGTGGATCCCAAACTCTCCCTCCTCTACTTTCTATTTTCCAAGCTCACTTAAAAATTTAGCACTAAATTCAAAAATTTATGAAAGGTTCACTCCTCTCTCTCAAGAGAATGTCACAAGTACGGCTTCCAGTACCATAAGCTTTCCCCTCATGTTGATAACCACAAATGTAGCTCACTCGGCTCAAAATCAAGTAGGACTTCTTTGGGGATGTAATGAAGGCTTTTGGATTAGGGATTGATACAATATGGATAAGTGGTTACACCTTCCTTAAGCACTCCATCTTTCAATTCTCGGCTCACACTTTGCTGATCCCTTGAGGCACTTTCTTTTCCTTGGGGGACTAGAGAGACTTAATGTCACTCTTTCTTGATCATTACATTCATATTTCTCCATGTTTGGGATCATTTCCTGTCTTTGAATCCCTTCAACTCTTTCATTTATTCACTGTATTCTCTTTTTGTTCTTTTCTTTTCTTTGCCTTTCTTTCTCATCATTTCTTTTCTCTTTTTGTACCTTGATACCTTTTTTTTTCAATTTCCTCGTCTCTCCCTCAAACTTACGTTTTAGCCAATTATTTCACATGAGTGTTAAGGAAGCTCGGGTGCCAAGAGAAGGTCACGTAGAACGGGTGAAGGCTTGCAACATGGTTTTCAAATGAGAAAGGCTAAAGGCTCGAAGGTGTTGACTAGGGATGATATCATTGGTAGACAATAAAAAACGCAAACGGACCACGGAAAGCCTACAATCACTTCTCAAGCCAAACGAAACTTAAGATTTCATCTTAAAACACATTCGGGGCAAGTTCTAGACCTTTCACACGGGTGCTTGGACGAGCAACAAAGCATCTCACACCTCATGCAACTAGATTGTTAAAGAGGATAGAGTTGAGGGCCCACAATGACCACATTCAAGATTGAAGATCACTATGG